AAGAGCTGAGGGACAGCACCCAGGCCCAGAGTTCAAGCCCCACGACCAACAAAAATAAATAAATAAATAAATAGATAGATAGATAGATAGCACACAGAGGGTAGGAACTAGAGTGCCAGTGGTATGATCTGAGCAGTGTTGATAAACCCAGGGAGCAAGAGTGAAAGGATGTACTAAATTAGTGGCAGAATACAGTAACAGAGAAGTAGGTCCCTGGAAAGCTGAGCATGGTGGTTTACACTTGTAATCTCAGCACTCAGAGGCTGAGGCAGGAATATCTGTTCAAGGCCAATCTGAGCCACATAGTGAGATAAGGTTCAAATCGATTCAGACAGAAAGGAAAGAAGGATGGGGTATCACTGGAAACATTTCAGATAGAGGGAATAACTCAAAATGAAGACCCAGTATTAAATGAAGGCTAGAAAGCTGCTTGTAGTTGTATAATCTGAGGCTTCCCCTCCCACATTCTTTTTGGTACCCTAAAGTATGATCATTCACTTATATTCTCTTTCAGGGAGTCCTTTGACAGAGCGGAAAGTATCCATACCTAGTTGTTGTGTATCCTTTGCAACAGCCAGTGAGCCATCTCCTGTGTACACCCATGTGATTGAAAACACAGATTCTCCTATCTGGAATTTTCAGCAGCAGTCAAGGTTTGTATTTTCTGAATGTTCATCACCCTTCGAGAGTCAGCTTTTTTTCTAAGAGACAAACTCAGAACAAGAACTAGAACCTTGTGAAAGTGCTTTTTTTTACTTAAGTAGCTATTTAATTATAGTGCTTATTTATATCTGGCAGTGGTTTAAAGGTTTTGTTTCAGTGTTTTTAAAAATTATTTATTGAGAGCCTTTTTTTAATATAAGTTTTTTATTGTGAAAATGTTTACAGTTACATGAGCAAGGTAATGAGTTCGTTTCTTATCAAGCATTGTTGCCTCCTCCTTTGTTTTTCCCTTACCATCCCTTCCTGCCCCCCCCCCACCTAAATTGTAAAGTTCGTTTTTCAGCATAGTGTCTTGTACATCTCATTGTTACAATGGGTTAACCTGTATCCCTATTTAAACATTTTGTTTTTTCCCTTCTCCTCCCCAAATTAGACCGACATCAAATACAATGAAAACAGGGGTTACACCTGCACTGTTGTAGCTTCTATAAATTTCAGATGATTGAAACATTCTCTACTACTAAGACATTCATGGCTGAATAGAAATACAAATAATTAAAATTATAATCGAGTGTGACAAATGATATAAAAGAAGTAAAAAAATAATATGTAGTGTAACTCAGAGAAAAGATTATTTAGGCTAATTAGGAAATTAATAATCAACAGACTTTAGCTAATACTACAGAATGCATACAGTAGGTTGTACAGACAAGGAAGAGTATTCTAGGCAGATGTTTGATGCAATGGAAAGAGCCTGGTCTTTGGAACCAGAGAAACTTAGCCTCCAACCCCAACTCTTAACATTTTCTAGTGGCGTTAATAAGTGACATAATATCTCTGAACCTCATTATTTATGAAGTAGAAATCATTTTCTGGTTTATTACAAGGCCTATATTAATTGACATATACCATATACATGACATATATAATATACATGTTATATAATATGTATGTTGGCACTTCTTTTTTTTTTTTTCAGGTAAGGGATAGGTTTATTCATCATTCTGGCTGGCACCAGGCCATCTTGGTCCTCCACACGGTGGGGAAAGGCCTGGGAAAGAGAGCTGGGAGAGCTGGGAATGAGAGAGAGAAGAGCTAGAAAAGAACAGAGAGAGAGCAGAGAGAGCTAGAAAAGAGCAGAGAGAGCAGAGAGAGGGTGTCTGGGCCTGGGCCAGGCCTTATGTAGGGTATGGGCGGAGAAAGGTGTGGCCACATCAAATTCAGATGTGACCTCAGCAGATGCAGATGTGACCTCTTCCAGGTGTGCCAGTTGCCTAGGTAATGCAGGTACTGGGTGGAGACTTTGCTGTGAGGGGGGTGGAGTCTGTGAGGAGGGTGGACCTTACATTCCAGCCTTTTAAATAATCATGAAATAGGGCACGGATTCTCTCTGGCTACTTCCTGCTGACAAGGGGTGTAGACAATAGGTGTAAATGGTTGGAATTTGGTCCCCTCCCAGAGAAGGCAGCAGACAGCAGCTGTCCCTTGGTGGCGTGAGTTCTTAGATGAAGTCTGGAGAAGTCTCATGAGGCATTGAGGGGCTGGGAAAAAAATACTAGAGAGCAAATAAATGGCAAGAGGAAGGACTTGGTGCTGAAAAATGTTGGTAGAAATGTCCCTAGTTACTTCTGACATCTGGTGACTCGGTAGAGAAGTCAGGTAACAAAGGCAAGAATATAAATTCTTGTCCAGTTAATAGGTAGACAGGTATGGACACTAGATGGGCAGGCTTCTTACTTCCACTGACCACCTGGCTCTGGTTAATTTTGAAAGGGCAGGCACAAAGTAGCTGATGTGACATCATCTCCTCTTACTTCTCTCCGTGGTCCCTTGTTCCCCAGACTGACTGAGTAGGTGCTTGTTGCTGGGATGGCTTGTCCCAGTTGATATTCAAGAAGGCTTGAACTCAAGGCCTGGGCATTGTCCCTGAGCACTTCTGCTCAAGGCTAGTGCTCTACCACGTTGAGTTACAATAGCACTTCCAGTGTTTGGCTGGTTAGAGATAAGAGTCTTGAGCCATGCTTCCAGCCTGGCTCTTTGCAGGTTAGTTGGGAGATGGAGTCTTAGGGATTTTTCGGCCCTGGCTGGCTTTGAACTGCAATCTTTGCCACAAAAGCCCTTTATTATTTCCAATTAAAGCAACAAGGAGATCAAGTAGAATAAGTAGAGCTTACCTGGTCCTTATCAAGAATTGCCAACAAATATTCTGCAATGACAAAACTTGTTAGATGTGATGAGAATTTTAGTACAGATATGCCCAGTATTTTAGAACCATGTAGTCAGAAGAATACACAAAACAAAAGGCAAAACTCAAAACCTAAAATTTTGACAACAATGTTTAGACATCTTTGCTAACAAAGCACATCACATGGTTGGGCCTCAGTTACCAGGGCCTGTGAAAAGAGCAACTTGTTAGCAAGGCACCTTAGAATAGATGGATGGGGAGTAGTAAGCTTGGTGGAAGGTTAAGGGTCAGATGGGGCCAAACCCTTAACCCACCATGTGGCCAAGATGGCGAATTTCTGAAAAAATGCAAGGAAACCCTGAACAAATAGATCAAGCCTACATTGGCTAGCCTTTGAGAGGGAACCTAGAGGGGGTCCCCGGGACCCAGCCTGCGTCGCACTGTTCAGGGCACAAGCCAAAATGTAGAAAAGAAAGGGATAGAGAAAGTTCGACATGACTGGCAGAGAGAGAGCAAAGAGAACTTGAAAGTAAACAGACTTATGGCCATTTACCATTGCAGTGGCAAAAACTGTCTACATCTGAGAATGGCATAAAATTAGGCTCTCTGGCTTTCCAGGGAGCGCAGGAGGCATTTCAGAGGGGTTTCACGGCTCAGGCGTGATTCGCAGCACCCCATTAAATGTGTAGGAGAGTCAGTCTGGTGAGTGAAGGAGAGCTGAGCAGGCAGAAGTGGCATTGACTTCTCCCAGAGCACTCTAGAGAGAAATGGCCAAGCCCCCAAGGCCAAGCATCCTCGGCTTCAGAGGTGACCAGCCTTTCAGCTAAAGGCCGTAGGAGCTCTCTGGCGTGGCGCCATGTCTGGACAGAGACTGAGCAACAGAGAGCCGTAGAGAGTAGTTTCACTCACCAGAGTAGAGAAGAAGTGTGGACGTGGATGTGAAGGCCAGCAGTGTGCTGTGTCTGCAGCAGACAGATGGGTTTGCAGAACGCCCTCAGAATTGTGGGCATTCCTCAGAGCAAAAAGGGAAAAACAAACAGAAAAAGAAAAAAAGAGAAAAAAAAAACAGAGAGGAATCCCACCTATCCTGACTTTAGGCCCTTTATCCGAGTCACGGCACCATTTATGTTAGGTTTTTAAAAAGAGGTGGCCAAGTAAAAACAGCACTACGCACGTGGTATTCAGGTAAGGGGTAGGTTTATTCATTGTTCTGGCTGACACCAGGCCATCGTGGTCCTCCACGCGGTGGGGAAAGGCCTGGGAAAGAGAGCTGGGAAAGAGAAAGAGAAGAGCTAGAAAAGAACAGAGAGAGAGCAGAGAGAGCTAGAAAAGAGCAGAGAGAGCGTTGGCACTTCTTTGAAAGCTCAAAAATAAAGAGATAGGGGCTGGGAAGATGGCTCAGTGGTAGAGCACTTGCCTTGCATGCATGATGCCCTGAGTTCAATTCCTCAGCACCACATAAGCAAAAAGAAAAAAGCCGGAAGTGGAACTGTGGCTCCAGTGGTAGAGTGCTAGCCTTGAGCTGAAGAGCTGAGGGACAGCTCCCAGGCCCAGAGTTCAGGCCCCACAACCAGACCCAAACATACATACATACATACATAGCGAGCCCCTCTGTCATAATACAGTGCCACTACAAAGTAACAGGCTGACATAGAGGCCCACACCTGGCTCAGGATTTATTCTTCTTTCAGTTACGAGTTATTGAAAGTGAGAGGTCCTAGGCAAATACAGTTATTCCAACACTTGAGAAGCTAAGACAAAGAGATCACAGATTAGGGCCAACCTCAACCTAGTCCCCCTCCCCCCCAAAAAATGCTAATTATGTTGCTGTCAACATTACACTTGATTACCTTCTATAAAGTTTACTTGTCCACCAACAGAGTTTTACAAAATTTTATAAACTTGATGCAGACTCATTAACCATTTCCTAGTTTCCCTCCTGAAAACCCAATTGAAACTTTACAGTTGACTGGTGCTCAAGAAGTTGTCATACAGTGTGTTAATAAGAAAGGGAATTTTTTTAAACATACTTATAATGCACTTTGTTGATTTTTTGTTTCTTTTTTATAACCCCTATTGTCACTGTGTCTGATTCCAGTGCCCTGCATCTTGTATATACATTTTTATAATTTGGGGAGGGAAAGGGATATAACAAAGTGCTTAAATAAGAATACAGGTTGACCCATTGTAACAGTGAGATATACAAGACTCTATGTTGAAAACTAACTTTACAATTTGAGGAAGAGGGAGGTTGGGAGAGAAGGAATGGTAGGGGAAAAACAAAGGAGGAGGTAACAATGCTTGATAGGAAATGTACTCATTACTCATGTAACTGTAACCCCTCTGTACAGCATTTTTACAATAAAAATATATATGAAAAAAGATAGGGAATTGGAAGAAAAATGAATACTGGTATTTACAATTCCCTTATCACAAAATTATTTCATTTGATCCTCCGTGTACCTTGTAGGCTAATAATATTATCCCATTTAGTAGATGAGAGAAGCAGGGCTTAAAGAGATGAGTATAACCCCAGAGTCATTCAAGTGCTAACTAATAGAACTAGACTTTAAAGAGTTGTGTTTTGACTCCTACAGTAAAAATCCCGACACTAATTCTTGCACAGTACCCCTCACTGATCTGGAAGTAGGGCTCTGTTTAGTGCCAGTGCTGTGGGAAATGAAATTAAGTCTCTTGGCTTTCTATGGTTCTCAATCCTATTCACATGGAGCAATGGCATCGGTTATAATTTAAAACAGTAATTTACTTCATGTAAAATGTGCTAAAGGTGTTCAGTGAATTCTACTTCAACTGCATCTACTATGAAAATTGGAGTTGCTTTACATCTATACAGTTTAGCATTGGACTCAGGCACCTAAGACTCAAATCCCAGCCCTGCCACTTACTAATTCTGGTAAAACCTTAAGCAAATTACAATTCCTCTGTGAGCCTGCTTCACTATCTGTAAGATACAGATAATAGTGCCCCTGTCACAGGCTTTTGAAGAGATAAACTGTGTATGAAACATATATGCATGACACTGTGCCTAGGTCAGAGTAGTCATTTAATAAGTATTTTTTCCTCCTCGCTTATCACCATTCTCCCACTTTAAGGCATGAAAAGTATTTTTATTCATTCCAGTAAAGCTGGTTATTGCATGTAGAGAAGCTCCCTTCCTCTACTTTCTCTTTCATCTTAGAATTGAGTTTGAATGTGGTGGGTATGATCAGATAAGAAGGACTGCTACATCTGAGGAGCCTGTTTTGGAGTCTTGGCAATAAGTTACTTCCCCTTTCTGAGCATCCAGCCCTTCATTTTGACTACAAGATAAAAATACGTCCTAGAGGATTGCCATGTAATTGAAATGAAAGTTGTAGGAAAATTCTGTACAATATATAGGATATCTCATCTAAATACAACATTTATTCATGGTGATTCTTTTTCTTAATAGGCTATCAAAAGAGCTTCTTCTAGACCCTCAGCAAACTCTGGTCTTCAAAGTTTGGCATAAGGGAGGTATGAACTCTGCTCTATGAATATCTCTGTAATTATATAAAATAAGTTCATATCCAGGTGACAGTCCCAATCTTTTTTCCTTTATTTATTTATTTATTTTTTGCCAGTTCTGGGGCTTGAACTCAGGGCCTAGGCCCTGTCCCTGAGCTTCTTTTTGCTCAAATCTAGCACTCTACCACTTGAGCCACAGCGCTATTTCCAGCTTTTTCTGTTTATGTGGTACTGAGGAATCAAACCCAGGGCTTCATGCATGATAGGTAAGCACTCTACCACTAAGCCACATTCCCAGCCAGTTGTGATCTTTTATAGAAAGCAAGTAAATCCATAGTACTGATTGTACTAGAAAAACAAATATGTGATAGAGGAAAATACCATAGCAGTCTGCATTGGTCTTCTATGGAATTTAAATACTTAGAAATCATATTTCATTTGACAACATTTAGTATAGAAGTCCAAATATACCTTTGTGCTACACACAGTGATTTCTCTCCACTTTGTATGATATTTGGCTTTCTGCTGACTCTATAGTTAAGCAAAACTCTAATATTTTCAGGTCATAATATAAGATCAGAGTCTGACCGTTTACCCTTCCTTGTTTGAAACTTCCATAAGAGAGAGTTTTGATTAACATGATGGTCCTTGAACAAAATTTTATCAGCTACCAGGGGCTGGGAAGGTGGCTCAGTGGTAGAGCGCTTGCTTTGCATGCTTGAGGCCCTGGGTTCGATTCCTCAGCTTCGCATAAGCAAAAAGAAAAAAGCCAGAAGTGGCGCTGTGGCTCAAGTGGTTGAGCGCTAGCCTTGAGCTGAAGAGCTGAGGGACAGCGCCCAGGCCCAGAGTTCAGGCCCCACGACCGGACCCAAAAAGAAAAAAAAATTTTATCAGCTACCATTTTGTTTGTTTGATCATTCATTTTGAGGAAATGTCTTATAGTACAGGCTGGCCTCTAACTTAATACATACCCTAAACTAGCCTCAAACTCTAGATAGCCCTGTCTGGTCTTGAACTCCTCTCATCTCTGCTTCCCAAGTGCAGGCATTTTAAGTTTGTGTCACCTCTCACAGCTCAGCTATCACTTATTAAGAGTCATCACCCAACAATGTTATGAGAATCAACTCTAAAACTAAACTCTTGGAATTCAAATTATAGCTCTTCCTTTTACTGTAGCAATGTGGTCTTAGGTGAATAACAACTTTTCTGTGCTTTAGTTTCCACATTTGTAGAATGGGGAGGGTGATGGGCAATAATAGTACCTATCTCATAGGATTGGAGGTTTTTGTTTTGTTCTGTTTTGAGATACTATGATTTGAACTCAGGGCCTTGTATTCTCATAGGGCTTAAAAGAGGGAAAAAAGAGCCTGATGGTTAAAAATGCCTTGTGGGTTTTTGTTGTATTTATTTAGTGAGTGGCAATGTGCTAGAAGCTTGACAGCTATATCTAATTCTGCTATATCTAATTTTATAAATGTAAAAGCTGGGGCCCAAGGAATTTTCATGGACTAAGATTTTATCAATATTAGTTTATGGAGCTGGAATTTGAACCCAGTTCTGACTGACTGTATAGCTTTACTGCTTATTCTTCACTATGCTGGTAAGATTGGATGATGCCACAAAAAGAAAAAAAAGGTAGTAAAGACATCTCACTTGCTCACAACTTTGCAAGAAAGTCCTTGAGACTCTTATCTCCAGTTAACCAGCAAAAAGCCAGAAGTGGAGCTGTAGTTCAAGTGGTAGAATGCTAGCCTTGAGCACAAAAGCTAAAGAACAGTGAGTGCCAAAGCTCAGAGTTCAAACCCCAGGACCAGCACAAAAGTCTTTCATATCTGTCTGCCTGGTTTAGCTTCAAACCAAGATCCTCAGATTTCAGCCTCCTGCACAAGTTTACAGGCATGAGCCATCAACACCCGACTGAGCTTATTTTTAATTGAGTATAATACATTTACATACTAATATAAATAGAAAAACAGAACTCTCTTATTTGAAAGCCACCAGCTTAAGTAAAATCAATGAAGCCTGATAATGTAGCAGAAGGAATGAGTGTTTAAGTTTGGGATGTTTTCTACTTACAAGAAGACAAAGCTCAACCCTCCCACTTTTTCCTGCCATACAGAAAGGGAAATCCTAATCAGCTCTGGTTATCAGCTCTCAGCTTTATTATCTATGTTCTGTGAAGGCTTTGGAATCTCTGAACTCCCCAAGTCACCTAAATCAGCTTCTTTATCTTCAGCCTCTAATTTCAATGGCAAGACATGCCCAGCTCCTCTCTTTCCCCCACAGATGAAGAAAGAGTGATTGGCTTTGCCTCAGTGGACCTCTCCCCACTGCTGTCTGGCTTCCAGTTTATCTGTGGCTGGTACAACATCACAGACTTCAGTGGAGAGTGCCAGGGGCAGATAAAAGTTGCTATCTCCCCTTTGGAGAGTTTGGTACACCTCAAAGAAGAAAAACAAGCAAGACGTGGGGTGAAGACCCCAGCATCACTGGTAAGTATACTGATCCTCATCTAATATACATTCTAGTGAAGAAAAAAAAAGCCCTGCAAGAAGAGCCTTTATGCTGGTATTTTCTAACTTCTGGAGCATATACAACTTATATATTTGTGTCTTATTACCAACTCCTGACCTAAATGAGGTGACAGAAGTGTTCTAGAATTAGTAATGATAGTTGCACAACTCTGAATATTCTGAAACCCAGTGAATCAAACACTTTAGGGTGAATTTTATACTACCTATATTATACTTCTTTTTTGTGTTTTGTGGGACAGGTTTTTAAGCTAGTCTTGAAATTGTAATCTATTCTCAGCCTTCCAAGTGCTGAGAATTATGGACATATGCCACAGGCTATGCCCATATGCCACAATAAAATTGTAGTGTTGAAACTGAAACCATATCACTTTTTTTTAATTCCTTTACATTAAAATTATTGGTCTTAGCCAGACATATTGGTGCATATCTGTAAACTCAGCTAGTAGGAGGTATAGGCATGGTCCAAGGCTGGCTCCAACAGAAAACAGAAGACCCTATCCAAAAAGAAATAAAGCAAAAAGGCTCAGTGGTAGAGCATATAGCCAGCAAGTGGAAGGCCCTGAGTTCAACTCCTAGGACCACCAAAAAAAAAAAAAAGTGATTTTGTTGTTGTTGTTGTTTTTAAGAAAACGGGGTAAGTTTTCCAAAGAGTTCAGCTGTAAAAGAAAACATTTTTTTAGACTGTCTCAGATGAAGGGAACTTTATTGAGGTAAAGACTTATTCATATCTTTTTCATGCATGCCTGGCCTTGGTCTAGCACAGCATGGTGAATCAATCAGTATCAAATAATAAGTGGATGCTTGAGGAAATGACCAAGAGTTCACTGTTCCCTGGGTAGGAAATTACTTTCTTCAGATCTACTGTGATAGTCAAGAAATAAGAAATATCAGTCAGATAAAATGTAAGATCATGGGGGCTGCCAACAGTTTATAAACTAGCTGGAAGAACAAAAGCATAAAGACAAATAAAGCAACTAAAGAGCAATCTGGTAACATAGTTTGTAAAGGAAGGAGTGTAATAATACCTACTTTATATTATAATTTAAAGCTTAAATGAGAAAATGTAAATTGCTTAGCACAGTGATTACCACATAGGAAGTACTTAGTGATATACTGAGAAAATCTAACAAATTTATTTATACACTGCTTTGTTCCAAAGGATTAACCAATACACCATTTTTCTCATTGCTTCTGCAGATCCCAATGTATAATCCCTTTTCCTTTCCTGCCTCTAATCTGTGTACTGCATTCCCCAGTCTGATTCCAAAACAAAGCCAAGACCAGTTTACTCGCACCTCCTCAAAGGAGCTTGATTTCTCCTCTTCTGAGAGGTAATATCATGGTGGGAAGAAATGAAGCCAACTAGTGGATGTATGTGAACTGACTTGTCATTTATCTTTCCTTTATTAGAAGAAAGCAGAAAGCTTTGTGGAACTCACACCTACATACATGCACGCTCATACACATACCTCTGAAAACCCTAAGATCTATGAAAACAAAATTTATTATAAGACCAGAATTAGAGGCAGGCATAGTGTCTCATGCCTGTAATCCCAGGTTCTTGGAGAGGTAGGAGGGAGAAAATCAGAAACCATATCTCAACAAACAAGCTAGGTATGGGGGAGGGGGGAAAGGGGTCTCTACTTCACAGAGGCAGAAGTAAGAGGTTTATGGTAGTAGGTGCAAGAGGTTTATGGTAGTAGACCAGCACCAAGCAAAGTTTCTCCCTAAAAAAATAACTAAGGCAGCCACGCACTGGTAGTTCACATCTATAATCCTAGCTACTTGGGAGGCCAAAATCTGAGGTTCACAGTTCAAAGCCAGACTGGCAAGAAAGTCCATGAGATTCTTATCTCCAGTTAACCACAAAAATAAAAAAAGCAGATTTGTGGCTCAAGTGGTTAGCACCAGCCTTGAGCAAAAAAGCTCAATACACACCCAAGCCCTGAGGTCAAGTCCCAGAACCAGCATAAAAAAGTAATTCATTAGTTAAGTAATTAGTTAAATAAAACAAAGTGCCAGGGACATGGTCCAGGTACAAGAATACACCTGTTTAGCAAAGGCAAATCTCTGAATTAAAGCCCTACTATAGCAAGGGGAAAATAATTGTGGTGATGTCTGTTTTACTTTTGGAGGGGTTTTTTGTTTTTGTTTTTGTTTTGGTGGTGGTATTTTTTTTTTTTTAAAACTGCTCAGTGTTTTTGCCTTTAGGCTTTCATTAGTGAATGTCCAGTTCTTCGATCTTCTTACCCTGGGCGCTGTCCTTCAGCTCTTCAGCTCAAGGCGAGTGCTATACCACTTGAGCCACAGCGCCACTTCTGGTTTTCTGGTGGTTTATTGGAGATAGGAAGTCTCACGGTCTCTCCTGCCCGGGCTGGCTTTGAACTGCGATCTTCAGATCTCAGCCTCCTGAGTAGTTAGGATTACAGGCATGAGCCACCAGCACCCGGCTGGTGGTGGTATTTTTTATGGGAAGGCATAGAAAGGTAGGAACGAAGGGTAAACAAATGCAATCATGCTATTCAGTATATACTATGTGGAAAATGAACTATGTAACTTGTGGGCAGGGATGAGAGGGGGAATGAGGAAAGCAAAGGAATAGGTGACATTCCAAAAAAGAAAAGTACTCATAACCTGACTTATGAAATTATAAGTAGAACATCTTAATAAAATTGTATTAAAATTTAAATTAAAAAAAATGGAACTAAGCCTGGTGCCAGTGGCTCACACCAGTAATCCTAGCTGAGAACTGAGGATTGTGGTTCAAAGCCAGCCCAGGCAAGAAAGTCCATGCGACCCTTATCTCCAGTGAACTACCAAAAATGAGTTCAAGCCCCTGGACAAGATAAAAAAAAGGAACTAGATTGTGTGTATTGTGTGTGTGTGTACACACGTGTGCTCGTGTATAAACACCACACACATGGATGAGCACAGCGGTATTAAGTTAGAACTCAGGACTTCAGGCTTGCCAAGCAAGAGCTCTACTACTGAACAATGCCTCTGCAAACATAGAATTTTTTTACTATTATCAAAAGGATGATGTCTGTATAAGAGACAGTCTTTTATCCTTAACTTTTTGTGGAAAAAAAATCATTCCTCTCACAAAACTATGGTGCCAGCTTGTTTTTGTAAAGCACAATTGTCTCAGCTGGGTGCCAGTGGCTCACATCTGTAATTGTGGCTGCTCAGGAACTGAAATCTGAGGTTTACAGTTCAAAGCCAGCCTGGGCAGGAAAGTCTATAAGACTCTTATCTCCATGGAAGTGGCGCTGTGGCTCAAGTGGTAGAGCACTTAACCTTGAGCTGAAGAGCTGAGGGATAGCGCCCAGGCCCAGAGTTCAAGCCCCATGACCAACAGAAAAAAAAAAAGGAATGTCACTTTTGCCGGGCGCTGGTGGCTCACGCCTGTAATCCTAGCTACTCAGGAGGCTGAGATCTGAGGATCGCGCTTCAAAGCCAGCCCGGGCAGGAGAGACCATGAGACTCCTAACTCCAATAAACCACCAGAAAACCGGAAGTGGCTCTGTAGCTCAAGTGGTAGAGCGCTCGCCTTGAGCTGAAGAGCTGAGGGACAGCGCCCAGGCCCAGAGTTCAA